TAGGTAGCAAAGCTTCCTATATGCTTTCCTATTTTAGGTTTGTGCTCTGACTTCAGGTGCCGTGTGTCTTTATTTAACGAGGAAAGTGAACAAAATGACTTAAGCTTCAGTATGTCTGAAAACAGGTAGCTAACAATCAGAAAAAATATGCCCTGAATTAATCTGACTATACTGAAAATAGTTAAAAGCCTAGCAGAAATTATTTAGTACGTTCTTAGCGATTTTTTTTGTCTGGTTTTTGGCATACAAAGTACTTTTGCACGTTGTTAATTGTGCCTGTAGTGTAGCCCAGTTCTTTTCTTAATATAACAGTGCTGGCATCTCTGAAAAATCAAGTACGTGGATATAATTCTAAAATTAAGTTTACTGCTGTTGAAAGGTGATTATTAGCCCTGCGGTCTTCTGTCTGCTAAACAAGTGTCATTAAAGCAGCAACAGTTCCCATGCCCTTTGCTCTTGGATGTGTAGGACCTCAGCCCTACCCTGGTAGAGCGTGGTGGGACAGGAGAGAGGGTTTGTGTCTAGTGCCTAACACTTCGCTCGTTTGGCCACCGAAAGGGCTCAGTGGATATCTGTTCACTGGTGGGTGACTGGTTGTTTTGATGTGGGTTCTTCCCTGGAAGTTGCAGAGATCTTCCCACGTTGTCTGTACTCTCCTTTGCAGTGGGAAGATTGCCTTCTGCCAGTCATAGCTTTCAGTCCTTGTCTCCACACAGTTCCTCAAGCTCTTGATCCAAACAAGGTCTTTTTTTTTTTTGATCCGAGACTGGTCTAGAAGCAGTGGAGTGAGCAGAGTCTGTCTCCCAGATTTTGTAAGCCACCCAAGTCCCCTTTTAAATATAGTTGTTAGTTACAGTTTGTATTTTGTAAATATTTTCTTTGCGGTGATTTATGGCTCTTAACCTCCTCATTATGATTCACAACATTTTTGGACCGCCTGCTTCCTGGGGGAGAGGATGGGGGGATGTTTTTTTGCTTTTCTATAACTTGGACCTGAAGCAGTTCCAGTTCTAGAAGCAAGTGGGAGATGGAAACAGAATGTGCTGGGTATTAATAGTCTCTGTGCTGGCCTGTCGCATTGGTGTTTGTCTGGCTCGTTGGGGAGGTAGCCCTCTGTCTGGCCGTGCAGATGGAGATCTGCTCGGAGCTCAGGTGGTGCCGGAGCCCCTGCTTCCCTCCCACCCAGGAGAAATCCTCAGCGATTGCTTGTTCACCAGCTGCTTTAGGACAGAAGAGTCTAGTCGAGAGGTGGGAAGATGGCTGTAGAGCTGCCCCATAACCTTTCAGAACACCCTTGTGTTGCCAGGTGTCCTTCTCCCCTTTTACGTGCATAAGCGCACACATATACATTTGTGCTTCTCTTTGCAGCTGCCTCTTCTTGCTTAGGGTTTCCTTACTGCTGGTGGGTGTAAGAGAGGAGCCGGCAAGGGAGCATAGGCAGCAAATAGTTAAAAACGAAGCACAATATTGCGCGTGTCCTGAGCTCTGATACGTTTCTCGGTGACCTTGAGCAGAGCTCAAAGCTTACATGTGCAGGCGTGAATGACATTATCACCTGCATAAGTGTATGTTACGCAGACTGTGCTGAGGAGGTAAGGTGGATCCAATACTGTTTCTAAACGCGGGATCTTTGCCGCAGCATGTCTCTGTGGTGCCTGACGACAGGCATTGAGACCTAGGGAACATGGATTAGCTCCCTTCCGAGCTGAACTGCTGTCTGTGGTGAAGGGAGAGGGCTGGTTCTTCACTGCGAAGTGTTGACATGAGGCCAGAAGGAAGGAGCTGAAACTCAGCGTGGGGAGGGAGTCAGGGTGGGGAGTGGGTGCTCGGTGAAATGCAGGCTTTTATCATCTGGCTTGGTCAGGGTAGTGCTGTTGCCAGTCTCCATTATGTGCTGCCTGAGAACAGGCTCCAGGCCCTTCCTTTCATCTCCTTCCTAATGAATTAAGACAAGGAATAACTATAAAAGGGGGGGGAAGCAAGATCTGAGGAGACTATTTCTTTCGTTTATGCTGTAGCTGAATGTGTGGCAGTAGACGAAAGTACTGAGATAATGTTATAGTGGCTGAAAGTTCAAATCTTACCTTAGGGCCATGGATGGTAGAAATGAGGGAGCTACAACATCCAGAGAGAGAAGGTATTTAATGTTAAACTACTGCTGAAAAATCAGGATACATGAAAGCCTGAAAAGCATTTGGGGACTCGTAGTGTAGTCAAAGAGGTAAGAGTGGACTGAGATCCCCTGTTCCTTCTATTGTTTCTCCTCTTCGAGGCCTTTGTCTTATTACACACATCACATGTGCTGCAAAATGACTCCTGTGTGGCAGCAGCCCTCTGCCATATGCAGGAACAGCTGTGAGTGGTTTTGAGCAGGCCGCTGTACATGATACATTGCACCCTTGGTAAGTAAGGAGTTCTGCCCTCTGCCTGCAAGCAAATGGATGGGAGAGGAGCGCAAACAACCTCCCGGCTTCCTCCCCTGTGGAAGCAGCAGATCCAGTCCTGTGCAACCTCTATTTGGATTTCAAGACTAAAACATCTTTGTCGTCACCATTCAGAATCTGTGCCTTTCCTCATTCACACTGCAGAAGATACACTAGTGTTTTGAGGATGCACCGGCGTGCATGGGTGTTTGCCTGCTTGCCAGTTCCATGCAAAGCCATAGAAAACATGAGATTTGGCAAACTGCAGTAGCAGGGCTCCAAAATGGATTGTAGAGATCCCTTTCAGCAGGAGTGTTGATGATTTTGGGGAGTTATTTTGGAGCACTCACTTGCAGGCGTTGTGTGCAGTGGTGATGGATGGGCTACCCCTGTGTTTTGTCCTTCTTGGACAGATTTGCCCTGAGGAGCAAAGGACTCTGATGGAGTCATAAAAATAAAACCACCAAATAGCATGGTGTGATTTAATCGTAAGCCAGCTGCATCGATTCTTCCCCTAGGGTGCACTCTCTGTATGTTTGGAGATGGATTTTGTCATAGGGGTGAGGATAGGAGAAGAGGAGGAACTTGGGGAGGGGGAGGCATCTTTTTAGATACGATCAAATGGAAGTTTCAGAGGTTGTTCTTGAAAATTTGATGTTTGGGGGATGGATGAGTCTTAGCCAAATAAAAATGCTTCATCCTGCTAGGCTTCTCCCGAGACTTGCATGCCTCTGGGGAGTAGAGATACTTGCAGGGCAGTATCTCCATTTTTCCTATCACGGCTTAATTTATATTAACCAGATCAAACATGTTTTGTGCTGCCTGCACAGCCCTACTGAAATAAAATGGAAAGCTGCCACTGCTTTGCTCAGCATGACAAGACCCCAGTGCTTACTGTTTGCTTGCTCTTGTTAGTGCTTTATAACCAATATATAAGTTCAAGGTCATGTCTGTAAGAGATATTTCTGGCCAGAAGAAGCTCTTTTAATGTTGCCAGTTTAGCTTGTCTGTGGAGAGAAGTTTCTTTCCAAATATTCATGAAGTATTGTATATTGAATGATGTGCAAAGCAGTCTGGCAAGTCCAGCCAGTGGTTGGGGAGTCAGTGTGGGCAACTCTCCTAAGATTTCTTTCCTCTTTGGTATGCAAATTGTGTATTTAAAACCCGAAAAAAAAAGAGGCCCCAAAACAATAAGAAAAACCCTACTCTTAAATCTTTAGTTTTAAGGCCTGTGTGTGTTCTTGAAGGTGCCTAAAAAAGGCTGACTCTAGCAATTACATGGTCCTTGCCTTCTCATAGAACTTCTTTTCATTTGATGGGTTAAGGAAGAAGTCAGGTTGGCATCTAAAGAAATGAAATGACACTTGAAAGTGCATCACACAGGTGGTCAAAACATGACTCCTAGGAGGCTGAGGCAAGTAGCAGGAGATGGAGTGAGTGGGTAGGTGCTTTTTGAATACCTTGGTCTGTTAGTGCTTGCCTTGGAAAGGGACAGAGCAGTTAAACCCATCAAATTGCAGTCCACTTTGTTCTGTAGCTCCGAGTTTTTTGAGGTAATTTTTCTGACTCTGGTGTGAAAAATACCATTTTCTCATCAAGCCATTTTGCAAAGGGGCCTTGCCTTTATATTTAGTGCTGTGCTCAAATTTTACCACCTTTTAGTCTAAGCCCAACACAAGTGGCTGAGGTTCTCATCCTTTCTTCTCCCCTGCCTGTCATCTCTGTGGGGGCATTAGGTCTCTCCTCTGGCATGCTCTGGTCTCCCTTATTCCTCTGCCTTCTTGCTGTACTTCTTCTGTGCTCAAGTACCCCTGGCCCACCCCTTGACCTGGCTTTGCTGTACCAGTCAGTGCTTGGGAACGCTGGAACAAATTCCCTTGTTTTAGCTGTGGAATTGGTAGCAGAAAGTAGCGCTTGGAGTTTTTATAAATCCTGCAGTGGTGATGACTGTTTCCTGTCCCTGGGCTGACTTTTAAATGTACAAGAAAAGTTAATCAAAGACATCCGTAAGCTGTTCATATATGGATTTTACCATTTAATTATAGATCTTCTTTTGGGGTAATGTTTCTCTGAAGGGAGCTTGGCAGAGCAGATGCCGTTTTGCCTGGGGATGCATTTCTGGTATTGGCCCGGTGAAGAGCTGCCACTTCAGCTGTGGGATTTTGATGATTGCATGAACATCCTGCCACATGAGATTAGAGTGGCGGTACTACCTCCCAGCTTCAGGATATGAAAGATCCGCCTCTTCATTAGAGCTTTCATATGGTGGCAGCTGAAGTGAGGAAGAACAGGGAAAAGAGAGAAGCAATTTAAGAAAACCAAAGGCAAATCTTCTAAGCTGAAAGGTGATCTGAGGGGAGGGAGGCTGAGATCTCATTACTGTTTACTCATGGAAAGGGAGGGCAAGAACAACAGATCAATTGTTAAGCATTACCGGCTTTATCAAAATAATTGTCAAGCATTCAGATACCGCAATCGCGAGTGTAATATTAATACCTAAAAGGAGATAGACAAAGCACGTGAAAGGAATTTGTGTGGTTTCTATTCATGCACATACTTTTGTCTTTCTGATTTCAGCAGACAGAAGGAGGGGCACAGACAGATGGACAGCAATCACAGACACAGAGCAGTGAGAATACCGAGAGCAAATCCACTCCAAAACGACTTCATGTGTCTAACATTCCCTTCCGCTTTCGAGATCCTGACCTTCGGCAGATGTTTGGGGTAAGTTACCAGCACCTTTTAAGACACGGTAGATTCTTCTTCCCCACAGATGGGACACATGGTGCTAGTGTTTTCATGTGAAGGAAAAGCCCTTTCCCCTCAATTTAGTCAGTACACTGTAAAATATTTGCAGGACTAGGACAATTGGTAATGTTTACCTCAGCTGGTAAATACACATGAAAACTATAACTGTGTTGTTCATATCAAGATGTTGAGTGTAACCTAACAATTGGTTTGGAAAAAAAAACAAAACTTCACCTTATTTCCCAGTAAAGACTAGGATTAAACATTGACTTAATATATCCCTTGCAAAGCACTGTTTTTCAGTTGCTTAGAAACTTGTTGCAATATTTATGTCTCTCTTCATGATCCACTTCTGTGGTGAAAAATTGCTGCAAGAAATTGGCCAGCTAGCTATTGCATGTGGAAAAGCTGGTGCAAGTCAAATGGTATTTTACATTGTGTATGATGTACATTTTGTTTCTTTTGACCAAATAGTTTGTCTTTCCTAATCTTTGTATGCTATTCATCATTCTCAATTTATAAGTCCTTTGAGGAAGAGTTTATTCACATGGGTATAGGTGGTGACTCATTCCATGTGGACACAGCGATAAATGAGTTAGATGCTTCATGACCTAACCTTCAGGTGAAGTTATCTACGTAATCATTATCAGGAATCCTTGACCTGTTGCTATGGTGGTAACATCCTTGGTTGATGGCATGTTTTAAAGTCTTCAGAAATATTTCTTATAATTTATAAAGTTAACAGACTTTAAATGTTGCTCCCTGTTTAAGATGCAGTGCAGAGGACTTGAGTCAGGAAAGAGCAAAGCTAAGGTTCCTCTTGCCACCTTAGGCTTTGAGTGTATGCCTTGGTCGTAACTGCATAGCCAGCTGCTCATCCAAAATCTTGCAGTATTCCTGTTTCAGTTGTTGCATCTCTTGAGCCATCTGTGTGGGTGTGCATGCATGCATATACACACACACTTTCACATGGAGAGTAACGTTACAGTATGTAATTGTGTCAAATTCATGGTCTCCAAGCTTAGGCTGCTATAAATGAGAGAAGAATTGGGCTTATCTGTTCATAGCTTGGACAGTACAAAGTGTGCAGAAATGTTAAAAATTTCACTGCTGGTCTTCAGCAAGAGTACCAATTGGTATATATTGTGAGAGATCTTTGCTCTTTGTTCTGGAACTTCTCCATGTCCTTAAGAAGCTATTTTGTGGATGAGACCAAAGGGAGAGGAGTGGTCAAAATGCAGAAGGGCAAAGCTGCTATTCAGGGGGAGCTGGCCAGGCTGGAGAAATGGGCTGACAGGATTCTTAAGATACTCACCAAAAGCAAGTTTCAAGCCTTCCATCTGGGAGGGAATAGCCCTGCAGCAGTACAGGCTGGGGGCCAGTTGTCCAGGAAGATGCTCTGCAGTAAAAGATTTGGGGGTCCTGATGAATAACAAATTGAACACAAGCAGCAGCATGCCCTTGCAGCAAAGGCATCCGACCGTGTCCTGGGCTGTGTTAGTGAGTGTAGCCAGCAAGCCCAGGGAAGTGATCCCCCCCATCTTCAGCAGTTGTTGGACTGCATCTAGGATGCTGTGTCCAGTTTGGGCTCTCCAGGGCAAGAAGTGCACTTCATCTAAGTGAGATACTGGAGCAAGCCCAGTGGGCACCACTAAGATGTTCAGGGGACTGGAAAACATGGCATGTGAGCAGAGTCTAAGACCTGGGCCTGTTCACCTTTGAGAAGAGAAGGCAGAGGGGGGATATTTTTGTTTTCTGCAACTACCTGATCAGAGGATACAGAAAAGATGTGGCCAGATTCTTTCTGGTTGTGTGTAATGATGAGAGGAGAGACAACAAACACAAGTTGGAACATGGGAAATTTAAATTAGATATTGGGTTTGGGGGGTTTTTTTTGGTTTTTTTGTTTTTTTGGTTTTTTTACTGTGAGGGTGGTTAAATAGTGGAACATGTTGCTGAGAGAGGTTGTGGAGCCTCCATCCTTGAAGTTATTTGACTTGACTGGACACAGCCTGGCCAACCAGGTCTCATTAGACCTGCTTTGAGTAGGTGTTGCACTAAATGACCTCTGGAGGTAGGTCCCAGCGAAAATTGTGATTCTGTTGCAAGAGGCCTGGGTTTGGTTCCATGTTGTTCATACATTAGATTGTCACACTCTTGACATCTGTGGGAATGTTTTCAGGGTGAAACTCATCTCCTGGCAATCTGTGATTGCTGAATCTTCTCAGTTGCTTGTTCTGCTTTTGTGTTTTTTAACTTGCTTTTTGCTGTTGCAGGGCTGTGCAGTAGGCAGTTCCGTCCGGTTTGGATAAACCGGTTGCTGAAATCACAGCCAGTTCTTGGACCACCTGCTACAATCTGTATTTAGCATGTCCTGCTCTGTGCTACTGCTACTCCCCTCTCCTGGGAGCTGCGTCGCTTACATAAATTGTTCCATGTTGTTGCTGCCCCTTTCTTTGGGACCGGTGCTTGGCTTGATGACTGGCCCCTTTCACGCTCTTTTACCTTGATGCTGTTCCTCCCTGTGCCCCTGGTGTGGGGGATATGGATGAGATGGAAATGACAAGAAAGTCCCTGTCCTGGTGACTCTCATTTCTGCTTTGCAGATGGGGAGACCCAGGGAATTTGAATGAACTGCTGTCCTGAGAAGTGACTTGTAGAAAATGCAGCCTAACTGCTTGCATTAAGGCTTCCTATTATTTTTGGGCCTGTACAGTGCCACTTGTTGTACGTACAAGGGGTGGGGAAATACACTATATGAGTTGGTTTCTAGTGGCCCTCAAGTTATTTGTTGTTTGTTTATTTTTCCTCTAAATATCATCTCAAGTTCCAGGACAGTGATGTGATTTTAACAGGGTAAATTCCCTGTAAAACGTTTTGCTGTAGTTCACCTGGCCCTGTGTTTGCTGAGAGGTATGCCTTCCAGAAGAGTATTTGTGTTTTGGGACACAAAAAAAGCCATGCGCCATTTTCCCATAATAGAGATCTTTGCTACTTTGCCACAGAAATAATCAATGGTTCTTGCACATCTCTGTTTTTCTCTCAGTGCTGCTTCTCTCAGCATGCTCAGAGCCTCAAGCAGGAGAGTGTTTCTCTGAATCCTCCTTGGTCCTATTTCTTTTTCAGGATCAGGATGCTTTCCCTTGGGTGACTCACTGAAACCAACCCTTTCTCCTACAGGGGACTCATGGTTGTCTGAGTCTTCAGCTGTGGCTAGCTTGTAACCCCCATCTTCTCCCTCTGCCTTCTGTGTGTCAGGTCACATCTCCTCAACGTCATATCTGAGAGACTCAAAATCCTTGCCTGGAGTCATTTTCCCAAGCTACTGTACAAAGAGAGGAATTGGGTAGACAGCAAAGCCGTGGAGGAAGAAATAAATGTGATGGTAGGGAGGGAGTAAAGAAGTCCCCTGAGGATGGAACAGCATGCAAGAGGTCAGCCCAGTCCTGGGGCGCAGAACACTAGCAAATGCTTTTGTCCAGACTTGAGTAGAGGTGGACTTCAGACGTGTTGTCCCATGTGTGATTAAATGGATATTACATAATGCTTTCAAAATCTTCACTGTTTGTGAGAGCTGCGGACATAAGGATTTCCAGACAAATTCAAGTTATTCGAGTTTGAAACCATCTCTCACCTGTTAATGTGTTTCTAACAGGTCCCTGAGATATCCTCAGGAATGGAACAAACATTTCCTTATGTATATGCTTCTTATAGGGAGGCAAATAAAATAGGCTGCTTAAAACAGGTAATATTTACTTGACATTTCATGATGCCAATAAAAAGACTTCCAGAAAGCTTCTAGAAGGAATAGGTCATTTTTTAATGCACACAGTTCTGCACCCACTGTGGAATAAATCAATAGTTGACCTTGTTCCAGCAGATAAAGAAGAGTTAATGGCTGACCTGAAATCCCACGGTTGCCTAGGTACCAGTGATTGTTATTTGTCTGTATTTACTTTGTGCAAACAGAATATGGCATCAGGCAGTAATGTAAGGAGCTTTAGAAGAGTCTGTTTCTTCGAGTTTAAACAATTGGCAGGATAACTGCCCGGGAAGATACCTTTAAAAGGGGAGTGTTAATGGAAGCTATAAAGTGTTCAACAAAATCATACTGATGGCCAAAAAGTCATGATTCCACAGCCACTGAAACTGTGTTAATAAAACAGAAAGCATTCTGCACATTAGGCAGGGAGGATGAAGAGGAGGAGAAAATAAACAGCAGTGAATGTAACTGCAAACTTGAAGAAGCAGGTGAGAAAGGAAATGTGCTAATCGTGGAGATATTGGTGATGTAGGTTCAGAGGAGAAGGTGTCAATCTTTTACATGCAAAGAGAAAAGATCTAGGTGTAGGTACAATATAAAATGTGTGTTTGGGGCGGGGGGAAAACCCACAAATAACAACAAAACAAACAAAAACAAAACAGAAAAACCAACAACCCCCCCCAACTTGCAGTGTTTATGATTTAAGAGGAGGTTATTTGTACCATATCTGGTTTTGTATATAGTTTATAAGAAAGGAGGATGAGACAGTGCTCGCTAATATTTAAAAACCAGCAGATCTAGATGAGGTATGTCCAAAGATAATAGCCAAAGCAAGGAGCTCTTTTATTCATTAATGTTAATTTTTAGCCAATTCTTTTAAGCTAGGGGAGTTGCAGAAGGCTGGAACGCTGCCCACCGGGATTCACTATTGAAAAAATTGAAAGAGATGCCCCAAAGAGCTCCTAACTATGTATGCATACATTGATCCAAGATAAAAACAATTTTGGAAAGTTTTAAAAAGCATTAGAATCTGAAGAAATGGTGTAATATCTCTTCAGCGTGACTTTGTATAAGGTAATACACATCTTTGCAGAGAAATACTGTCTTGTCTATTTTGACAAGGTTGTACAAAGCAATACTGATAATCGTTGAACATTACTCAACCAATTGAATTTGTCAAAGTGACCAATGTTGATTTTTAAGAAAAAGAAGA